ATCCCTATTAATAACTAAAGCTACGTGAGTGGTGTTCAATTGAGAAATCCAAGTAAAACAAAAATTAAACCTGAATGAAAGAAGCCAAGCTTCCTTACTCTGAGACAAGAGGGGTATGAAATGCATGTGTTGGTGCTACAGTTACCCAGGTCTGTATTTCCCATGCCAATTGCAGGATTTGTGATATTTTTTCCGCTGCAGATGGATGAGGTTTTTGGGGGAAAAGAGGGGTCAGGCCGCGGCAAGGAGCCTCGTTTGGAGAGTGTTATGTTTTAGTTTGCATTAAAGTAGTGTCACCTAGAGGCTCCAACCAAGAATACAGCCAGGGGTTGCTGGGCACCCTGAGCACACGGGCACCCAGGGGCAGAGCGAGGTGTGGATACGGAGAGGTGCCAGTGGGCAAGAACGGGGCAGGCGCCCCAGTTGGGGGCTGTAGTTGGACCGTTCTGGTTTTTGGCTGTGTGTAACTGCAAAGGAGTGTTTGGCCCAGGTGGATTTCTGACACCTCACTCCTTGTCGTCAGATGCTCTCCTCTCCAAGTGTCCATGGGTGACAAAAGAAGACATGGGAGAAATGACAGCCAGCGTGACGCTGTCAATTACCTGCTCATCTTGGTGTCAACTGAAGAAGTTCAGATACAGTTGGTAGATTTAAAGGACTGTGTGGACTCTGTGTGTGTCAGGTACCAGTCAGGTGGGATGACAGTGCTTCAGAAGCACTAAAGATGCCTACGAAGCTGTAAAGCTGGCTTGAGGGTAACCAACAGAAACCAGTCCCTGAAAGGCCAGTTGTGGGAAACTTGACTGCAGCGCTTGGAGTGAGAAGGTTTTTTTGAGAAAGCCAACGTCTGGCGCTTTTCTGCAGCAGTTGATAGATTTTCAGTGTTTAAAATGGGTATAGATGCTTTATAAAGGTAGTGTTTTAGACACCTGGCCTCTCAACAAGTGATATGGAAAATCACTGGGAAGGTGTAATTCCAGTTTTTACCCTCCTCCACAACATGTAAAGTACCAATGCTCTAGGGATGCGTACTTCACTAAACCATCTGAATCTCTCCTTCCTCAATCAATGAAGACATGTAAACAGAGTATCAGATACACATACAATTACTTTAATGACAACATAAACATATTTAAAATACAGCATTTTCAAATAAAGCCACAAATCATGTATAAATTACACTAATTGACTAGTATTAATTTACAGAGCTCACTTTTTATTAAGCAGCTTTTATTAGAATTAACTTTCAGTCTGTGTGTGACATGAAGTCTGTAACTATTCCAAAGAGGCTGGATATCTGCCTGATTCTGTTTCCCTGTTACTGGGATTAAGAGAAGCTGTTTAGACCTAAGTCCTGATGTACCTCTCCGACATGAGTGTTGTATTCCAGGTGGTTTCAGTACATTTGCCAGCAGCTAAGAAATCCTTCTTCCTTATTCCTTGATTGCAGTTTCACTACATCATAGTTTGAGAAGTAATTTCCCTCCGTCTCTTCCTCATTGCTCTATGGCTTCCTCTGCTGTTTGGCCTTTAATGCTGACCAGTAGTATGTATAGGTTCATTAACACTATTATAAATTTAGTCAATACTCTTTTAGTGGACTCCAGCTGAGCCCATACTGACTCACTGCCCTCCAGGGTGTAGTGAGAGACTTAATTACCCTTGTACCGTTCAACAGGAACAACGTCGTGGGCAGCATTTCGCTGTGGCTGGAGAGGTTGAAGCTTCTTTCTCTGTTGGCTGCCATTTTCAAGTTTAAAGAAAGGGATTTCAGAATAATTCACAGCTCTGTACAATAACAGGGGAAAGCCACTGCTCTTTTGCAAATGAGAATTGGATTGGTCACGTTTCATTACGGCACTTACATGGATTTTCCTTTGATGGTGGGAGTATTCCTTTGGGTTGTCTAAGGACAAAAACACAAGTTGAAAGAGAGAAGTGGTGGGACAAGTAATCCTTTAGTTGAGTGGCACGTGTTTCAGCATCTCCTACTGCTTGAAACCAAAGAAGCCTTCACACAGTGGAGGAAGGTGGATATTGTATCCAGCAAGGCAAAAGTCATACTCAAACGTGTGTGTAATTGGTGATAGGCCACAGTATCCTGCTGGGGAATGCAACCCACAAGAATGCCCTCACTTTCTCACTGGGATCACTAAAGTGAAGTTTAAGTCAGGTGACATCTACCACAGTAAACGTGCATTAGGGTGTGTAAGTTGATGTTGTACAAGGCATACCCTTCACGATTTCAGTGTCACCATAATTTCTGATATTAATGTTGTCTGTGATGTAAAGGTAAGTCCTGGGTTGGATAATGTAACGGTAATGGCATTCCATGTGCACGAGTATTTGCCAACAAATCTGTGCCTTTTTTTCTGGCTTTCATGTGTTATGCTGGGTCCTGTGCTGGAGGCTTTCATCATGTGTCAACAGTCTGGTTTCTTGAGGTGTCGCCCGTTTTGAGTGAATTACTCTTCTTTGTAATTAGATGAAGTGATTGTATAGTCTTTAAGAGCATGGTGCAGCCTTCCACTAAACAAATGCTCTGGCTCTACTGCTGGAAAGTATGAAATATTATATGAAGTCTCTTCTGTGTACGTTAAAGGAGGGGAACAGGTAAGAGAGACATGCTTTGGAGGCAAAGAAGGTGAAGAAATAGTTACAACTTCTTAACAGCAGACTAAGGCATCTCTAGCTCAAAGTTTGAGTTGCGTACAAACAGTACAGCATATTTGCATTAGAAGAGCCTTCAGTGACTCTGTGGTTTGATTCCTGCCTGTCATTACCCTTCTTATTTACTCATACACTTGCAAAATATTTGCCTTGTTCCTCGGGTTTTATTACCTGTCCACAGCACATCGGTGGGGTATAGAGAGGGATGGCTGCAGTCAGTCCTTTCACTGCTTATGTCATGGAGGGAGCTTCTTTGTAGTCATTGAAGAGTACAAACACTCATATGTGCCATAAATATCCAAACAAATCACAGAGCAGACATCATCAAGAACAGTCAGAGAAGGAAGTAAAGTAGGAGGCATCATTCAGAGCAGGAAAAAAAGGAAAGCTTCATAGCTGTCACAAATTCTGGGTTAGTCATCATTTGTCTCTGTGCTGGTGGAGGGTACTTGCTGAAGCATTGCGTCACTTGCAAATGTTAGTCACTGACGCCATTGTCTGAGCCTTTGAATGAGAGGGGAAGATTTTCAGCCTTCTGAGAGAAAATAATTTTTTTAAAAAAATGGGCTAGGAGGGCTTGCTGATTGTAAAGGTGTTAAATATGCCCTTATTCACACATTGGTTTATATGGATGGCGTCAACGTAACCGTTGGATGTCAAGCATCTTATAGAGAATAACTATTTTCCATTAATTTTCCCTAAGTATTTGTTAGGGGAAATTATTCTTTTCCCTAATTCAATTCATTTTAATTATTTTGTGATTTTATTGCTTAATTCAATTTGGGTATTTTGAAACAAATAGGTCAGTTCAAATTCATAGTTATGGTCTATTACAATGCTGTTGTGCTGGCAGAGCATTATGGAATTTGTTTGAAATTTCCTAGTTATTTGTCGAATGTATTCACTGTTTCATTTTGCCTTACACGGCTGCTGGGGCTGTTATTGGGTTATTGGTTCCTTGAGACATAGGTGGTTTTTATCACATATACGCGCATGTCTTTGTGCAGTGTAATTCCTATTCCTAAAGGATTTGCAGTAGGTGTTGGGAACAGGTTGAAGAATGAACACACAGGTAAGCCTTGATTTTGGCTCCCAGCACAAAAGGCTGGAGGAGTGCTCCAAGCCTGCAGTGCTGCCTGAGGACGTGGTGGGGTCAGCCCCCTGCTCTGCACAGAGCCCCTTCCAGCCTTTGGCAGGTCGCTTGTCTCGGCGTGTCGTGTGTGAGTTCATCGCGTGGCACTTCTCTGGTGCAGGCTCTGAAGCACGTGGACACAGCGCTCAAAGAGCCTGTATGGATTCTTTAGGCAAGATGGAATTCCAGTGATAGCTGGTAGTGCAGGGAAAATGCAGTTCTTGATATAAATACAAGTCAATGGTGTTTGAAAATTGTGGAAGAGAGCAATGTGCGTGTATTAAAGTGTGTGTATATGTATATCTAGATGAGGAAAGGTCACGTGTGTGTATATCTGTGCATATATGCAAATAGAAATCTAATTTACAAGTTAATAGTATGACAATGAGCAATTTCAAGTGGGACATATTTTACAGTTATGGGATTAATAGTTACTTTCACTGGATTTAACATATTTCATTAATTACACTAGATGCATACCTATCCTGTGTTCATTTTGAAACCACCAATGCTTTCACATGAAAAGAACCGTAAGCAATGTTTGCTTGTGTGTGAGGACAAAGGTAATGGAAAAACCCAATCCTCTCATCCACATATTTATCTGAAAGATGTGTTGTATATCTGCAGCTGATTTTCTAGAATGCTGATTAGCTAATACTGTTTTTGGCATGCAGCTTATCCATCGTGTGGGAGAACACTATCTGAATTTCAATTTACTTTTCAAAATGATGTTGAACTGCTATTCCTTTAAAGGCTTTTCTGGCCATTTGGGGACCCGGTGCAGACAGTGGAGCTGCAGTCTGGTCTCAAAATCTAATTGAATTGGTACGAGGCAGCTGAAGCCGTGGTTGTTGAAGAGCTTGAGACAGAATGCAAAAAATGAGTGCTTCTGAGCAACTTCCTTAGTGCTCTTCTTTGAAACTCTGCCCCTGAGTTTATTTTTACTTTCACTGGTAACAGACCTTTATGGTGAAAACCTTGTGCTTCAATATAGTTAAGGAACTCATTAGTTCTGTGTGGTTTTGATGCGATCATGTTGCTATTAAAGAAACCTTCTGCCTCTGAGAGTACTGGGCTAATAATGGAAGGAGGAGTGGGGAGTTAAATGATGTCAGGTGTTAATCCCTTTGTCCCCGCCAGCAATTTGCCACCGTTTAAACTTCCAAAATCTCACCCTCCTAAACATTTGTTTTTGCAGTGATGGGTCTTTCCCTTACGATTCTGTTCCCTGGCAGCAAAATACCAACCAGCCCCCAGGCTCCTTGTCAGTGGTCACCACAGTATGGGGTGTGACTAACACCTCTCAAAGCCAGGTAAGCTCCGTTTTTATGCTCCCTCCCCGTAGATTATGTTTTCAGTAATGTTTGCAAAGCGGGAAGTTTTTTAGAAAAATCCTCTTGCAATCAATAACAGTGTCTGTGTTCCCTTTGTACATGCTTCATTTTTTTTCTGGCCGTGTCCTCTCTGGTGGCATCGGGAAGCAGGTGTCTGAGAGCTTGAGTCAGTGACTCCTTTAGCTGCATGCAAATGTCAGGCTTGGGCTTAGCACGTATTTTGCACTGTATAGTTTCAACACCAAAAGCATGATTTTGGGGTAATCCCAAGCCTCTTTGGAGACTCCAATTGAATTTGAAGAATTGTTTTATTAAAAATAAAATTTCTAGCAAGATTCACAGTGACTGTTGATTTTACCCAGGGTTGTGTCATACTGGTGGGCTGGTGAAATCCAGTGCCAAGTCTACCCCCGTGCTGGGGTGGTAACTACCAGCTATAGGCTGTGCTCTTCTCAACCTCTCCTCCTAATGCTGTCTTACTCTGCAAAAATATTTCAATATGCATTGGAGCAAAAGCATGAGCTCCTGGCTCCCAGGTGAGAGCCACGCTTGCTGCATTTTCATTTGGTTCTCTCCACCCTTACCTCTCTTTTTCTGCTGCAATGTATATTGAATTATGCTATAGAAAAGGCAGCTTTAATGAAGGAGACGCCAATTATTAGTGATAGCGTGCTCTCCAAGGAAAGTGGCACAAATCAAGTTATCAGGCAGTTTAGCCTTTTCTTACAGCGTGGATGAAGTGCTGTAAACACATCGCCATCTTTAATGAGTGCAAACGGTGCATAAATCTAACTTGTATTTTCTGCATTTTTCAAATCAAGTGATGTTGAATCCCATACAAAATTTTCTGTGGATTTTTTTATTATTATTATAATAATTTTGGTCAGAAAATTAAAACCAAAATTGTTATGGATTGAGCCCTTTGAAAAAGAAATAATTCAGGGGCCAAGTCATTTACTCACGTGGCAGTAAGTACTGGTCGTGGCAAAATTTTTCTTCAAAAAATAGAGGAAACAGTTACAGGATCTATAACATCATCTGTTATTGGTGGTTACTTTTTAACACCTTAAATGAAAATGTATCCCATCTGGGAAAGAAACACCTGAGTAAACAGGTAGGTCTATACATTGGCCAGAAAATGGAAATATAGTTTCTTGTGAAAGTCTTTCACACTTAAAAAGGAAAAGAAAGAAAAAAAGAAAAAAAAAAAAGACTTCAGAGTTTTGTGTTATCATAACACTGTGGTGTAACTTGAACTCTTCATGATAATTGAGGGGAATGTGTGATAAAAGAAAAAAAGTGCATTGGTATAAAGAAGAAAATGCTTCTTCAGAATCACTGCAAGGGGAGGGTAAAACTCTGGAACGTTAAGCCTGGTTGTAGCTGTTGAGAGCAGATTGAAATGAATGGCAGGGTTTCCCGTAAGTCTTCATGCTCCTGAGGGAAACGAATGAGCCAGGCCCATCATTTCCCTTTCAGAAATTCCCAGAGCTGATGACTCCGTCTTCTGCAAAAATCGTGACCACTAAATTTCTTCCCAAGTAGGAGATAGATTTCCATGCAGCCATACTTGCATCTCAATGGAAACCTTAGCAATTTTGGTTCAACTGAAAAAAATAATGTTTCAAACAAGAAAACCGAGTCATTTTAAAAACAAAACAGAGGACTCTTTTCTAAGAAGCAATAAAAACAACCGACAGATTTCTGTATGCTTCAGAGAGGGTTAGATTCAAGAATGGGTTCAGCCACTGAAATATGTTCTGTCTCAGTTTTTGCATCTGTAGTTCCCTGTGCAGCATGGCAGGGAGACTGAGCAGTTGCAAGTTATTTCGAAGTTTTACATCAATAAAAAGATAAAGCATGTACTTTCTCTTAATTGGATTAATTTGTCAGCTACAGAGCGTGGTTCTAGGAGGTCTTTGTCATAACTTTTTTCATAAGTGTGTTAGTTTGGGTTTCATTGAGTTAAAAATCTCCCGTGGAGGATAATTAGAGATCAGAAACTCTTATTTGTTTGGAAATGGCAAAAGAAAAGGAGAAATCACCAGGAATGTGCACCTAGATATCAACAAGGTGTATGTTCATTCGAGTTCAGAGTACAGGGGGGTTATACTGTAATTTATTGATTGCAGCAAATCAACTTAATTTGCTTGATGTACAGCCCTTTATTCTCATGTTTCTACTCACAGGTGCTGGGAAATCCAATGGCAAATGCTAACAACCCTATGAACCCAGCAGGAAATCCCATGGCTTCTGGGATGACTACCAGCAACCCTGGAATCAATTCCCCTCAGTTTGCTGGGCAGCAGCAACAATTTTCAACCAAGGCAGGCTCCACTCAGCCCTACATCCAGCAGGGCATGTACGGGAGACCCAATTATCCTGGAAGTGGAGGCTTTGGTGGCAGGTAAGATTTATTTGTGTGAGCTGAAAGATGGATGTAAGTAGTTGATGCAGCTTGTTTTGGTGACCTGGCAGAAGTGTCATGGGCTTATTTTAATTATATAAAGTCTCAGTAGCTATTTTATGCTGGTTAACTAAAGTGCATACTGCTTTTACAGCTTCGGAAATCAGCTACCCAAACTGCAATGAAATTCATCACAGTAAATGGAAATGGCTTAGGTCAATCAATTAGCTCTAATAAACCTCCAAAATAAAGTTTTAATTAAGAGAGATTGTTAAACAGACCACAAGCTTAGGAATGATTAACATTTAATAAGGCCAGGATGTGAAAGGTATTGATGGTATAATTTCCACGTGCGTATGGAGGAACAAGCTTGAGCATTAGGCAAGGTAGGATCCAGTGGAGTGGGATATTTCTGCCCAAAGACTTATTCCACCACAGGATTTGGAAAAGAATTGGGGGTGAAGATGTTTGTTAAGAGAGATGGTCAAGCTGTGTATTTATTTTGGGGAAGTAAATGCTGCATTAGTGAAGTAAACCAAAACTAATAGCCTGCGTTTTGTTACATTTTGACTTTCTGTGTCTATGCTTTGTAAACAAGGGTGGTAAAGTGCACTTAGCTGAAACCACTATTTATGGTCCCTCTGCAAAGCCTGCTGGAAAGGTTGTTAGCGTGGGCAGTCTAGTGTGAAGAATGTAAACCTGGGACGCGGGGAACTTCTCTCTCCTTTCATCTCTGCCACTGATCTACTGAGTGACCTTGAACAAGTCAGAAAGTTTGTTTAGCTTTGTATTAACATCTCTAAAATGGGCATAGTTCACTGGCCCATATTTATAAAGATAGTTCATGTCTTGGAGCGGGGAAGGCATGGTTTAGCTTAATTTAGCTTATGATCAATAGGAGAGCCAGGTAGGAAATGCAAAATACGTTGTGTGGGATCCAGTAGAGCTGGGTCTCTCTTGGCTTTTCTGCTGAGGTTCAGGGAGGAATGCGTTTACAACGGTGGCAACACTTGGCATCGTTGAGCAGTGAGGCAGATGAGTGTGCTGGAGTGGAGGAAGCTCTCTTCATGCTGCCCCTGCGCTGCTGGGAAATGGAGCGTGCATTAACTTCCAGGATTGCAGTTCAGCTTCGCAGTAAGCTACGGAGCTGTAGAGCAGTTCACTGCCCCAAAAGCAAGGGTGCCTTGCCATCCCAGAGGCAGCCCTAGGGCTGTTGCACCTGAGCAACACCCGTGCCGCACATGCGCACCTCACTGCCCGTCCTGCTGGCTTTGGCTGGGCATTGATGGGTTGGGACAGTTCCACATGAGGATCACACCGAGGTTCAAAACACAATCCACCAGGCACATCTTCATTCTCTCTCTCTTTCTTTCTCTCCTTTCTGCCCTGTTAGTTACCCTGGAGGCCCCAATACTCCTGCAGGAATGGGGATCCCCCCACACACGAGGCCGCCGGCTGATTTCACCCAGCCAGCTGCTGCCGCCGCCGCCGCTGCCGTTGCGGCTGCTGCTGCTACAGCAACAGCTACAGCCACAGCCACTGTGGCAGCCCTTCAGGAAACACAGAACAAGGACATGAACCAGTATGGACCGGTAAGAGAGTAACCCTTATGTCTACATACCTGCCTGATCTGGACCGTTACAGGGACTGGGGCTGTCCTTCTTACTCCCCTGTTTATTAGGGTGCCTACTCTGTTATTGTACTATTTTTTTTGTGTGCATGAGCATGGTTATAAATGCTTATGGAAAAAATGCTGGAATGTGTGTATATAGGTATGAGTCATTCTCCCATGTTTTTCCCAGTAAGTCTTTCCTAAGTGTATTTTGTTGTTTGGAGATTGCCCCTTAAAAAAAAAAAAATTTGAAGATTACGCATCTGTGGCTGCATCTGATGTGATATTTTATTGCTGCCTTTGCCAGCCCTGCAAACCTCTAAATTTGAGTAGCGGGTGAAACGTTCCAGAATCTTGGAATAGGTTTTGTACCGCTTGGGTAATTGTTTATTTTGCCAGCTACAGTTGGTTGTTGGTTTTTTTTCCCGTTCAAACACAGAAACAACAGTAGAAAAGAGATTTGCTTTTTAATAAAGTTGTCTATGAGAACAGCTATGCGAGACATGCATTTCTGGTGATCCATAGCCTCCAGCGTGTCATGACTTCATGTAATAATTTTTTCTTAAAATAAACAAGGGTTTGATCAATTGAGGTTTTTTTCCTCCTTAGCTTTTTTACCTTTCTGAGGTTTGAAGTACATGGGCCCGTATCCTGAGTGGTGTAATGAAGCACAATGTCTTAGAAATCGTAGTGTTGTGCTGTATTGACCCAGCCAACTTCCTAACCCCCTACCTTACAGAAATAGACTAGCCAATTTAAATGATTGAATTGCTCACCTTAGACTTATGTCTGTCCGTCTCTCATATGCCTTCTACAATTCCAATTGAATTTTTATTATAAATAACATCACCGCCCATCAAACGCTGGAGAACATTGAAGGAAAATGCGACATAAATCCTCCCCTTCTTCCCTCCCCCAAAAGCATGTTCAGCTCCCTCCTCCCATTTTAAATGCATGTCGCATTTTATTCTTTTTTTTTTTTCTTCTTCTTCCGTTGAAGGTTTGTTCCTCTTTCCAGATGGGTCCAACTCAGGCTTACAACAACCAGTTTATGAACCAGCCTGGTCCTCGTGGCCCTGCTTCTATGCCAGGCAACATGAACCCTGCAAGCATGGGAGCGGGAATGACGCCTTCCAGCATGAGTGGGCCACCCATGGGCATGAACCAGCCTCGGCCTCCTGGGATGAGTCCCTTCAGCACCCATGGGCAGAGGATGCCCCAGCAGGCCTACCCAGGCCCACGGCCCCAGTCTTTGCCTATACAGGGCATTAAGAGACCGTACCCAGGAGAGGTAATGAAATCGGTTCTATTTTGCGTACGCTTTTGTTTTGACTGAAAGTTGCAAGGCGCTGGGTAACATGTGGTGTGCATCCCTGTAAGAGGTACATCGCTGTGCCCCCGTGGTAGGAGTGTTGCTGTTAAAATACAAGCTGCAGCACCTTTTCCTGTGTAGCTTCCAAAATGTTCAGGTTGGCCCTTGCTGCGTTAGTCAAGATGACAATCATTAAAATCGAGAAAGGTCCAAAACTGGCTCAGCCCTCAAAATGTCACTTTGAGATCTTCATGCTGGATGGTGAATTCATAGACCTTAAGCAGACTTCCTTCACAGGAGTGGATTTATTTAACGTGACAACTTAAGAGGTGTTGAAGGTGAAATACTTCATTTGAGTCCAATATGTATGTGATCTGCATTTTTTTTTTTTTGGATGGTTTTATTGTTCTAAAAATATACAGGGCATACGTTGTATAAACACCAATAGTAATAACGTTATTTTAAAGACCAATTGCTTTCCAAACTTCTTGAAGCCTGATTTTCATAGGCACTGAGATGAATATAAATCATGTTGAACTCAAATCCCTCTGTGTCAGCATTTATCTAATATAAGTTTATTTGGAGTGTGGTATTTCTGTCTAAGTTCCCATGCTGTTATACGAGATCTGAGTGGCTTTGTAGGCAAAATTACATTGCCATTGATGTGTATTATGACCTTGGGCGAAACACTTAGGGTCAAAATTTTAAAGAAATTTAGACAACCAAAGACGTAGACAGAGGAGCTTTTGGATTTTAAAAATCACCAATGCATTTTATTGTTCAGATTGGTGAGAATTGGGCAGTAGATACTTTTGAGAATCTCACCAACTCTTGGCATCTATATGCACCTGAATATCTTCACAAATCTAGCCACCAGTTATGAGCTTCAGAGATAATTTCCTGGTAAAATTCTGTATTAAACTGAGACTACAACAGCAGCAATAATTCCAGGTGTAGAGCTTTGAATATTATAATACTGCCCTGACTATAATAATGGTAGTAAGAGTTTATAGAAAACATACAGCAAAGAGTACCATGGCATGCAGAAAATATAGCAAACATTTGTTATTGAGCTACTTTTCTTTCCTGATCTGCAAACTTTTTTTTTTTTTTAAATTAAACAAATAATCAGAAATACAAAAAAGGTGTTGTGCTTTTGCAGGAGTTTCTTCTCTGGGAAGGCTTTTCGCTCTGTAAATACTGCCACTTACTCTACAATTAAGAAAACAAAGAATGTGGCTTGTTCAGCTAATTTTTCTCTTCAGATTTCATATTTTAAGGAAGACTGTAAATCCCTTTTTGCTGTTTCAGAAGCAGGTTTTTTAATTGTGAGTATGACCATGTTCCCAAGAAGTCAGTACTGAACAGTGTCCTAAATGTTACCTGCTTGCTGATCTGGAATTCTGCAGATCCCATAGATACTACTTGCTTGTTGATTTTTGAAAGCTTTATTTATGGAAATTTCTTATTAATTAGTTAATTTTTCAAAGTGAGATTTTATTACCTTTGAAGTTCCAGTTTTCATGACTTTGATTCCAAATCAGCAGCACAGTGCTAGCCAGCACTAGCATGGTGTTTCTGACTAGTAATAGCTTCTCTTCAGTTGTTAGGGTTTCGCTCAACACCCAGGGCCAGAGTAGCAGTTGTGTTGAGAAGACAGAGATGGACCACACAGTTTCTGTTCTCTGCCCATTTCAGGATTTTTTTTTTTATGTTACTTTTTCTTTTTGTACTTTCATTCTCGATCTGGAAAAGGAGCCCCAGGGATGGGACTGGTAGCACTTGCAAAAACAGAGAGATTTTTGTCAACGTTGCATCTGGTTGTTATTCAGGTTTCTTCAAACATGGTGCCCTTTGACAGCGCTGCAAGGCTGAGCCTTTGTGGGTGTTAAGGTACAGGGTTATTCTTAACCCACTTGGATTTATGGGACTTTTCTGCTTTTGAGTGAGCATTCACCTCCAGCCAAGAGCGTCTTGGTTTAGGCAGGAGTGGCACCAAGTTGAGGAGCATTCACCTGGAGGCGGTTTTTGTTTGTTCTGATTCCACTGTTGAATGTACCCTAATAATCAGTTCAACTGCTTGCATGAATGAGATCTTTGTCTTCTTTCCTCTCTGCCGTGAAATAGCCGAATTATGGAAACCAGCAGTATGGACCAAATAGCCAGTTTCCAAACCAGCCCGGTCAATACCCCACTCCCAACCCTCCAAGACCCCTTACGTCTCCCAACTATCCTGGACAGAGGATGCCAAGCCAGCAAAACACAGGGCAGTACCCTCCTCCAACGGTCAACATGGGGCAGTATTACAAGGTAAGAATTTTTAGATTATCTTGTTGCATTCCGGAAAACATTTATGAGTGAAGTCATATTAATGACTGCACAGATACTGTTTTTATGTAATTAAAGGAAAGAGAGAAAAAAGCACAGTGTTTTTACTAATGCTTTGAATATCACAGAGTCAAGTCAATCAGCCAAGTTGCATTGTAACTTCAGAGCAGTTCAAAAAGAAAATTGAATGTTGCTGCAGCTCATTAGAGGCTTTTACAAGAAAACGTTGGTTTCGCTTTAAAAATAGCATGTGAAAAGAAGTACCTAATGGGATTCAGGTGTAATATTTTCACCTAATCATAGCACCCTGCAAAAATATCTTTGGAAATTTGTAATGAACAAGTTCCACATTGCAGCATCCCAGTTTCAAACCCACAGTGGTCACTGTTGGATTAAGCCAGCCCAAACTTAAAAGCCATTCCAGCTGTAGAATTAATCTTTGAACTGAAGTTTGCGTGACTTTCTCCAACCTCTCCCTCCCCTCTTCTCCTTCTTTCTCCTCTGTGCTGCTTGTTTTGGGCAATAACTAGAATTGTTAAAATGTTGCCTAAAACCTGTTTTATGGATACATCTTGAGCACTTAGTATTATCCAAACTGAGTTTGTACTGAGGGCCTGCTGAGACTTTACGTGTTTAAAGTGAGCACGAAAGTGATCTTTTGCACACAGGTACTGAGCGAATATAAAAACAGGGAGGACCATCCATGGTCTGACCTGCTTTCAGAGCATTAGCTGTTGAGGTCTCTGGACTACATTCTTCTGATTTTTAGTGTAGGCTGAAATAGTCTAAGTTACACACTGGTGTTGAATGGGATTGTTCCAATGTGAGTCGCGCAGAAAACACGGTTGGAAAAAAAGAGGGGAAAAAAAACCCCAAACTCTTTTACTGTAGAGCATCTGTTCTACATGCAACCAAGCTGTCCAGTGTGGTACCCAAAGGAATGCCTGTTGCATTGTGGCAGCTTTTGCAGTACACTGCTGGGAAGAACACGAGGAGGAGACAGATCCCCAACTGCTGTAATTCCAGTGCAGTCACTTATGCTAAAATAACAGCGGAAGACCTTTCTGAAGATTTTAAGTGATAGTATTTTTAAAACATTTTATATGTGTATATTTTAGATGGGGTTTAAGTTTTTTGTTTACAGGATAGTTCTAACAGAGAATCTATGGTCTTTCTAATGCATCCCCTGTTTTGTATTAAAGTATCGACCGTTAGAAAACACAAGACCCTGTTAAGAAGGGAGACTGTCCTGGCCAGGGGAAAAATTCCATCTTGGCACAGACAGGACTGGAACTTTTGGATTGTAGTGATTGTGGAGACAGTAACTGTATGTGTTAAAGGAAAAAAAAAAGTTGGTTGGAAATATAAATGCTTAAGATGTCAGAATGCTGCTCTCTTTTAATGTAGTTTGGAGTGTCCTAGGCTCGCAGCGCAGCACTTAGATACAGAATCAGATTTGAAGTCCTGATACTTTGGCTGTCTGTGAAGATTTTCATCTTCTGACACTCTCATGTGTGTGCACTTGTCGTACAGGAGCTATTCCAAGAGAGTACCGTACAATTGCAGTTTTGTTTAATGTCAGCTTCCTTTGCATCGTTGTTTTTGGTTTATTCTGTTGACTGCAACCATCCCTTTAATTGCAAGAAACAGAACCAATGTTTTTTTAATACTACAGCTGCTATTTATACTTAACTATCCTTTTTCTCTTAGTTTGTCTTATTCAGTGGCAAACTAGCAACAGAATCAAATTGTAGGTACACAGAATAAAAGCCATCCCCTGAGCCCCCCCGAGCTTTCATTCTGACTAGATGAATTGGGCAGGGATGGAAGAAAGGGAAGATGGAAGTAAAAGGGACAGAGACATTCTAATTGCATGTCTTTTGGATTTTGTTTTTCATGTAGGCTTTTGTGCACTGGGGCTATTTTGGGAGGAAGCCAAAGAGATACAAAGGCTGGGTTGGTTGGGGTGGTGTGGAAAAACTGAAGCGAATGGCTGGTTGGTTTTGGAAAGAGAGTGTTCAGAGGAAGGCGATAAGCCTCTTGGCAGCCTTGCTTGTATCTAGTCATTGCCTGAATTGAGCTGGCTGGTCTGCTGCTTTCAGTTCCTGCTTTGCTTTCCTACTCTACCTCTTCCCTGAAGGCCTCATGGGACGTCCTGTGGTTTCTTGTCCTTCCGGAGACAGAGGGGCCTCCCTACGGTGTTTGTACTCTTTGGTGTTTGATAGCAGTACAGTTCACAAGGCTTATTGTTCTGATTTTCAGACTGCAATAACAATGTGATGTTATTTATTTTCTAGCCATCAAGGCCTGTACCTGTGGCAAATTACCCTCATTCACCTGTTCCAGGAAACCCCACGCCACCTATGACTCCAGGGAGCAATATTCCTCCATACCTGTCACCTAACCAGGATGTCAAACCACCATTCCCACCTGACATTAAACCAAATATCAATGCTTTACCACCACCTCCAAGTGAGTAGCAAATGGAATGTCCCCACAGTTGTTTATTGTCCCTCTGTTCTCTGCCACATACGTTTCGGAGACTGGAAGGTAGCTCTGATTGCTGCTCTGGGGGAGGCTCTGAGTGCTAATTGTGCTCCGTGGCGTGCGCAGTGTGGGCTCACTAGGGCCAGTGGACAGCAAAGAGAGAGATTGCTGTCCCCTCCTAACACAGAGCATCAGAAAAGATCTTCCAGGTTAAACTTGCAAGGATTTTACTCCTGAAATATTCCTTTGATGTGCTTCCTGAGGATAAAACACTTGATTTTGGGGTTGCTTTACGTGTGCTTGGTAGGTTTGTTTACTGTATGAACCTTCATTGTGGTCTGTTTCGTTCAAGGGCAAAGCCATTCATTGAACATCACTGCAGAACAGTGTAAGAAGTGAATATTTATAGCGGTGTCTCTATTGTGATCCATACAGGCTTCTTAAGAATATTCAGTAGAATGCCAAAAATTGATATATGTTTCTTTCAAAGCCACTCAACATCACAGCTGCATTTGGCTGGGAACAGGGCAGGAATAATAAGATCTCTCTGGCTGTATATGAGCAAAAGATATTTGAGGTTTTGAAGTGACTAATGAACAATAGGAGATATCATTTACTAGGGAACTGGGAGAGCCTTTATGTTTTCTGTAAAATAACTGCTGTTGTATTAGCAGTTTGCAGATGGTGTTTGGAGTTCAGGGTAGCTGAAAAATGTAGTAGAAGAAGGTGGCCTGCGGTATTATTTGGGCAATCTTCATAGATTAGCTGTAAGTTACCACAAAACCTCATTTTATGAGATCAGCTAGTAATTGGATACCGGTGTCTTTGGTCATTGGATAGCTTCAGCTGATGGAACTGTTGGAACTAATTGGGTAATGTTGATCCCAGTTCAAAGCAGGGAAAATACGCATTATCACAGTTTGCCATAATTAAGAGATTTGTTGTCAGTCTTCTGCCCGCAGAGTAAGCCTGGACACAGAATCTATCCAGTAATATAAACCAGGAATTTTTGCCATGCCTGGTTTCTGTTTGGGGCCGGAAAGCTAAGGGCCTGATGTTAAGTGTGGGAGAACAGAAGATTTGCCATCGGTGTCAGTTTGAGCCTTGTCACTGGTATCAGTTAGATAGATCGGTTACTGACAACTATCAGTGGTTGTGAGTTTTCTTTTTTGTGTGTATGAACCTTCTAAGTTAGAGCCAGTAGCAGATCACTGTGCCGTTTGTTGCCGTTCTGTATAAATACCCACGTTATTATCGCACCGCAGATGCTAAAGGGAAAGTTCACGCTTTCTCTCCCTCTCCGATCCCAGCCAACCACAACGACGAGCTGCGGCTGACGTTCCCCGTGAGGGACGGCGTGGTGCTGGAGCCCTTCCGGCTGGAGCACAACCTGGCCGTCAGCAACCACGTCTTCCACCTGCGGCCAACCGTCCACCAGACACTGATGTGGAGGTAAGCGGGGCCCTGCTGCGGGGAGGGCTCGCACCCAGTCACAGGGGAGTGCCGTGCCAGGGGAACTCCGGTTAGGTTCGCCATCAATTTCACCTTAAAAATCGCAGCCTGGATAGGAAAAATGCCCTTTGATCTCACAGGGCAACAAAGGGCAACAAAGCTGGTGAGGGGACTGGAGCACAAGTCTTACGAGGAGAGGCTGAGGGAACTGGGGTTGTTCAGTCTGGGGAAGAGGAGACTGAGGGGAGACCTTATCGCTCTGTACAAGTACCTGAAAGGAGGCTGTAGAGAGACGGGGGTCGGTCTCTTCTTCCAAGTTACAGATGTCAGGACAAGGGGTAATGGCTTCAAGTTGCGCCAGGGGAAGTTCAGGTTGGATATTAGGAAACATTTCTTTACTGAAAGGGTTATCCAGCATTGGAATGGGCTGCCCAGGGAGGGGGGGGAGTCACCATCCCTGGAGGTATTTAAGAAACATGTAGACATGGTTCTTCAGGGCATGCTCTAGTGCCCAAGATTACTGGTTTGTGGTGGGGTGCTGTGTGGGTGGGTGATGGTTTTTGGTTTGGTGGTTGTTGTTGTGTGTTTAGGTGGTGGGTGGTAGTTTGTGTGTGGTTTTTTTGTTTGTTTTTGTTGTTTTTTTTGTTGGTTGGACTCGATGATCTCTGAGGTCCCTTCCAACCACTACGATTCTGTGATTCTGTGATACCTGTCGCTTTCCAGAGACAACACGTTCTGAAATGCTTCCTGCTCTGTGCTGCATGTCCTCGCTGACAACATGCAGCAGGCGGTGTTTGAAAAATCACTGCAGCTGCCTCCCATCCTCTCTGCTCTGGGTGGAACGGGTGTGGGGTGTGCGCAGCCAACACCAGTACAAACTTCCATTTGGGAAACTCTGAAGCCCTCGGTGCTTTGTGGCCTGTGAGTCGTTAGTTGCAGGAGTAACTGTGCAGGGCTGTTACAGTTCATGCTTAAATTAAATGACGCAGATACGTGATGATGAAAAATAACACGCTAATGAAGGACCTGATTTAAAGGGTTGGTAAAATCATTTGAAAAGACAAGTGCTTAAATCCTCCAAGCTTTAGAAACTAACTTCCTAAATTCCCCCTCTCCTTTGACTCCACAAGTAAGGACAGGTCAGAACTATCGGAGCATAACTTTCCACGTACAAAGATTTCTGGTTTTCTCTTACAGTGGGTACTACTTGCCAGCACAGGAACAGCTTTCCTGGGTGGTGCTTTCCTGCATTTCGTGTAGCTCTGCATGAGTGATTCCAGGTTATGTCCCGATTCCACCATGCTCATGGAGGGGCTTTAGACCAAAGCCTTTATTTTTTTGGTGTATATTTTCAAATACCATGGAATAATTTTGTCTCCTCATTCTGTTTTTCTCAGAAAGTATCTCAGTGTTTATCCTGGCTGCTGCTAACATTGTTGGAGCCTGTCCCTGTGCACTGGGGGGGCTGGTTAGTTGCTCAGGACCTCGCGTGGAGGTAGTTTCACAGGTGTAGGAGCTGAGATGGTAGAATGCAGCATCTTAAGCACATTTTCCATTACGCCTGCCTCACTTTCAGTTCATTCCCAAGCCCGGGTCACACACCCCCTGGCCTTAATGGGGGTGATAACTTGTAGCTTCAGCTTTTTATCCCTGTGAGGGTCTTCCTCCCATTCACTGGAATCCTCTTGAGACTTGTGTTTTCATGGTGTGGGGTGTGTGAGGTGGGCAGAGGTGTCCCCAGGGACGGACTCTGGCTCTAGAGCTGAGGCTTGATGTGGGATGCAGGAGTCCTTGCTGCTACAATGCCCTGTGGGGTAGCCTGGGGGCTGGAAGGGAGGGAGATTGCAGGCAGACCACATCCAATAATTAACACCTAACTTTGAGGTCAGTTATTGCTTACTTGCATTTCATTATCGTGGAGTACTCGCAGCAGAGGGAGTTTTGGCAGTTATTTGCCGGTTCTTATTAATAAGTAATCACTACTGGGGATTGTGCTGGCTCATTCAGTAGATTTATAGTGCTGCACTGAGGCATGAGGCTGTTTCTTAATATCTGTTCTTTCTTTCTTCCCTAGCTCACCAAACACATAGCCTTTATTTAAACTTATTTTAATGAAGACTCATAGGTAAACTGTGCTCAGGTCTGCTGTTTTGAGAAGCTTGTTAATAGTGGGGAGAACGGATGGTCCTGTAATGAAGTCATTTCACATTTAACTCGGGGCTGGATGGATTCCAGAAAAATGAATTAGTCACATGTGTGGATGGATTTCAGTTTTATAGAGAATGGTGGAATCGAGCCAATTCTGAATATTTGTCTGCCAGTTAAAATATTGGGCAAAACCTCTCACGTGTACACACATAATGAATAGCAGGGCAACTGCTTTTCTCCCCACTGGGAACTTCTCATGGTTACGAGAAACAGAAAGGTGGAAGGCAGAGAAAATGTCTTCCTGAAGCTGGTTCAGCCTTAGCCCTGCTGGGTTATTAATAGCATCCCAGGGTGGAGACACTGCGTGCTAGGAACATGAGGGTCTCCTGAGCTCTGTCACCGCTCTGTGACACTCAGCAGGCCTGCCCCGGGTCCTCAGGAACACGCTTCATCTGCTTGGGTTTGTGTCAGAGGTACCAAGCCTTGCTTCCCTCTGGGTTTGGGTGACTGCGGTGTTCTCTCCTGAGGTGAGACTCTCCAGTGCATCTTGCAGAGAAAGCTTTCAAAAAATTGTTAATAAAACACTGGGAAAAAGCCTGCAAAGACTTAATATAGATGGATTATATTGAAAGGTCAGGTAATTTGTATTCTGTAGCTTCATTTTTGTTTTTTTTTAAATGTTTTTAGCCAGTGCTAAATCTTGATGTTTTGAAATCAAGAAAAGATGGTCTTAAGTCAGAGTTGAAATCTCTGGGTTTGAATAAGGAAAATGGCAATAAAGGTGGTGATCTCCTGAGTGAGCTGTTTCTCATGGATCTTACAAAGATATCTTCCTTCAGGCAGGATGAAGAAATGAGCACCTAGATTTTTCAAGCATAAAAGATAAACATTCAGCTGTCTTTTGCTGTCGTGAACAGCAGAATCCTGACATTTCAGTTCAGTTCTTCACGTTCTTTTAAATTTCTTTTCCAAATTACTCATTCCTAACACAAGGTTAACATCCGTGTATGAAACTGAAGTCATAGTCTCTACCCACTTAATTTGTGATTAACTTAATCTCAGCCTCTTCCTTTTTTGGAGGTGTTATAAAACTAATTTTTGAGGAGCTAAATAGTGTGTGGAAGTTATTATTGGAGAGGTGGGAGGAATTCATGCTCTGAAAGGAGGTCTAAATTGGGTAGGTTTAATCCACAGCTGTATTAATTTGGAATCACAGAGACACAGGGGGTGAGATACAGCGCTTGTTTTATCTTATTTGATTTACCTGTTCCAAGGCAGGATTAGCTGTACCTGCATTTTGTCTGACAAACGTTCATTCAAATACTTTTTTAAATGCTCTGAAGTAATGAAGAATCCACAGTCTTGCAGCACAACCTGCTGCAGCAAGTCACTTTCTTGCTCTTAACTTGTGCCACGCAGGAAGTGCTTACCTGATGTTAACATTTATCTTTAGGCAGGATCATTCCATGGTCTGGGTTTGCAGTGGCTTGAGATGTTCCCTTGGAAAGTCCTTTATAAGTATAAAATAGTAACAACCTTGTGCAATGATTGCATTGTTAATTCATCATGACTTGCTTCTGTTAAGGGCTTTTATGAAGAAAATATTTAGATCCTTTACTGGCAATAATTCTAGAAAAACAATCTGATTGATAAAAAGAGCGTTCCTAGCATCAAAACGACCTCCCTCTGCAATGTGAAAGCAAAATTAAAGGAAGATTTATTGGTTGTTGTACAGGTCTGACTTGGAATTGCAGTTCAAGTGCTACCACCATGAAGACAGACAAATGAACACAAACTGGCCAGCTTCAGTCCAGGTCAGCGTTAATGCAACCCCACTTACCATCGAACGTGGCGACAACAAGACATCTCATAAACCCCTGCACCTAAAGCACGTCTGTCAGCCGGGAAGAAACACGATTCAAATTACAGTCACAGCATGTTGTTGTGTAAGTACACTGAGCTCACCGTGCAGCTGCTGATGCTGACTTTGCTCTTTAGTACATTTTGCAAATGTTGCCTTAGCTGAAAGAGCCTTACTCTCATTTTTTTTCCATCCATTTTTCTGGTAAGGTGCTTGTTTGATGATGTTGACACACTCAAGAGTGCTAACATGGAAATTTTTGCTGCTGAATTATTGCAGAGTGTAGTGGTGCCCTTCTGATGTCTCTTTAAAACGCTCGTGGTCTAGGGGTGGCAAGGAGTTTGTTCTCCTGCCTGTTTGGTGTGTGCCTGTGTAATAAGGCAGCTAAGGTATATTAATGCAGAAGTAGATTATTGTGATGCAAACTGTTGTTCAGTACTAATTTCATTTACTTTGGGTATTAAATGGTGTTTGGTTTGACATGGGAACATCAACACCATAATCGGTGGTGGTGGTGATGATTTTTCAAAGAGCTTTTCATGTTCCATGATGCAGTCTAGACCACACAGCTTTCCCCTTTCTCCATTTCCATGGTTTAGGTATTCTCGGGGACAAGTACTGTATTTTTAATGCGGAGCGTTGCAGACACACAGTCTGAGCTTTTGACTGTTCTGTTGTCACTGACAAGAAAGCAAGCTGCTACCTCTCCCAAGGTCACAGTGTGAGGCACTTTGACAAGAAGCCATCCACCCATTTTGCTTTACCTCACACTGATGCTTCTCCACAGACTGTCATTTATCTGGTGGCTAAGAGCAGGCGCAGCCTCCTCTGAATCCACAGTGAGCTCCGTGTTGGGGAAGAAGATTCAGTTGGTTCCAGACACATCAGTAGGAAATCGTTTTTGCAACTTCCAGCGTAGTCTGAGGGCAGGCAGGTAGGCTAGGCTGTGTCAGAGAATCCAGGGTTTTAAAAATAAACCCTGATGTCAGAGATGGATACGTCAGCCCTATGTATTCTGAATACTAAGGAGGGAGAAAATGCAGAAAATCTTTGCTGTTTTTGAAGCCCTTGTATACGTTATGCTCCTGGAGCACGGAACAACATAGTGCACAGCATGAAGGATATCCCTAAGGGAGCGCGTGTGCGCAGCAAAGCAGAACCAGCTCTCATATTTAAGCATCAGGCTCTTGGGGCAGCCACGTGTCCGGGGGAAGAACGCAGCTCTGCTCAGCGCGTATTTACCCGTGTGTTTGGTTCTCCTGGTAACAAAATGCGTTTTCTTTCAGTCACACTTGTTCGTGTTGCAGTTGGTACACCGGCCCTCAGTCCGCTCCGTACTTCAAGGTCTACTAAAGAAACGCCTCCTCCCAGCAGAACATTGTATCACTAAGAGTGAGTTTTCATTTTGTGTGGGTGATGACTTTCCAGAATGCCCATGTTCAGCTGTGATAAGCTATTTCTACATAAGATTTACTTGATTATTAAAATCCTTAAGCTGCACTTGCCAGGAATTTCCAGAACATCATGTGTGTAGGTTAAATCCTCAGTATCCTCAAATGCCTGGGGCTATTTGGGTGGAGGTAACAAAGAACAGAGGACACAAGCTTAGTTCTTAATGAAGATTCTCCCGTTCCAGGAGAATCTCTGGCTTTTCCCCTGTATTTGTTTTTGACATACCTAAAAGCCCCCTGTACAAAGATTATTCTTTCTTTATTTAGCACTGCTTTAAGTGCTTGTATGGCACTTTATTTGGTTGAGGGTACAGCAGAATCGCGCGTGTGTGATGGTTTATCTGTTCAGGAGAATGTTCTAAATTACACAGAATACACCTATGTGGATAAATTGTCCATGAAATTGGCCCTTAAAGGTCGAAGTGTTGGTCTTTCAGATTTCTACATGAGGATTTACAGTACGCTTGCTTTTTCTCACACATAACACATCCCTTCTTCCTCAACAGTAAAGAGGAACTTTAGTAGCGTAGCGGCTTCCTCTGGCAACGCCACACTAAACGGGGAAGATGGAGTAGAGCAAACTGCCATTAAAGTGTCTCTGAAGTGTCCCATCACATTCCGGCGGATCCAGCTCCCGGCGAGGGGTCACGACTGCAAGCACGTACAGGTGAGTAGAGCCAGTGGCCGGGCAGTGTCCCCTCAGCTTGGTTATTGTATGAGAGAGCCTAATGAAATGGGATTTCATTGTGTCCATCAACCTAAATAATTTACTGAAAATATATATATATGTTTAATGGAGAGAGAGAAAGTAAGCTATTTGGTTTAGTTTTCAGTGCTAGTAGTCTTATTTTCACAGCAGTTTTGTTTTTGTCCAACCAATTCAGTTAATACAGTATTTATTTCCCTTTCC